GAGGGAAAGCTAAAAACATCCATGTAAAGACCTTAAAATAGGAAGTTACTATGTCATATGCATGTAATAGAATGTTACACGGTTATTACTATTATACACATGAAAACATAGCATTGTGGGAACTGTACTTACTGCCTTCCACCACATCACAGGACAGAGCAGAATCGCATCGATGGGTATCTGAGGCTGTAACTCTTCACAGGAGCAGAAGGACTCACCTTTCTCTCACGGAGAGGCTGGCGAGTCCACTGCCAACCTTGCACTTGCAGTTGGCAGCCCCCCAGGGCTTCTGAAGACTATGCCCGCTAAGTACAGTCACTTCTCCAGGTAAGGACAACATGGCTTTGTAGACTTTGTTTCTGTTAGCTGTCATCCAGTTGGCCCTAACTCCTGCCACCACCAGGTGTATACTAGACTGAAATGTTTAGGGATCGGAGCGTTGTAGTTTCCAGAAGTAGAACACAGGGCTTCGTTCCCTAGCCCACCTTTAGCTGGAAGCTCTGCTGAAGCCTCTTCAGCAGAATAACAGCATGGAAGCCGCCAATAAAAGACAGATGGTAAAAAACAACAACAGACAGATGGTGATTGTGCATGAGATGCCTTGTCAGGAACCAAACCCTCATCTCTTGCATGGAAGGCAAGACTTTGTACCAAGGGACCACCAATGAGTGCCCTGACTGGAAGCCATGACAATGATGCAAACGTTGCAGGATTTGCCCCCCAGTTATTTCTCTGGACTGTCTTCCTGCTACTCCCTTCCTCTCCCCAGTGTTCCTCAGCTTCCGCATCACTCTCTCTCCGACACTCCAGACTCAGTCCCAACAGGAGTCTCGGCACCTACAGTTCCCTTTCCCTTGAAAGCTATTCCCATAAACACATGGCTAAAGCACTTCATTTATTCTACATGACGGACTTTACTCCAGCATCTTCTCAAACACCACCACCGGAGACTCTGTCTTCTAACTCCATCTAAATGAGCACACCCAACCTATCCTCCTCCTCTTTCCTTTCTTGTCTCAGCCCCGGCCCCTCCTGAAGATACGAGTGCACTGGGCTGTTTTTGTAAAGGCTGGTTTTCTAGCACTTAGAATGATCTCCAGCCCACACACACTCAGTGTTTGTTGACTGGCTGACAGAATAAATAAAATAAATGGGTGTATATGAGGGAGAGGCAGAAGAATCACTTGTGTGATCAAAATCCCCCTGCCACCAAGTGGGTTCTGCCACATGGTGTCCCAATATGGGGTTCCCGAGGCTGTAGTTTTATGGGAGCAGGTAGCTTCATCCTTTGCCCTCGGAATGGCTAGTGGGTTTGGACCACAGACATTACCGTTAGCAGCCCAGTTCTCACCCAGCGGTGCCGCCACAATGAAAGAAAAATTGGCAGCTTTCAGTCAAGGTTTCTGAATGTTATTATTTTTATAATTCAAAACTACGATTATGTTAAAATGGCCATTGTTTTATACATACACGCACACGTACAAGAGGGCTTCAAAAATTCATGGACGCATTGAATTAAAAAATAAAAACCTAACTCACTGCCACTGAGTCAATTCCAACTCACAGGGACCCAACAGGACAGTCGAACCGCCCCTGTGGGTTTCCAAGACGGGAACTCTTTACAGGAGTAGAAAGCCGATATTTAGACGAGGGGCACGTGTCACTGCCAGTTCAATCCAGAAGATACGTTTAGGGACAAGCATTCTGAAAGGTCAAGACATCAGCAGGGAGGTGCTCACCCGGGTCTGCGGCGCTTGTCTCTGGTGCCCCACGGCTGGGTTGACCAGTGTTGTTCTCAGTACCCTTGCTCTCTCTTGGGCTTTCTGCTTTGGCTGCCCTGGGTTTTGAGCCCCTGAAGAACTTCTTGATAAATGAAATCTGGGGTTGAGTCTCATCTTCTGGGGAATGTTTCTTCTTTGTTTGACTCATGGTCAGGGGGCTGTTCATTGAAGGGGCTGTTCGCGTCCTGTTTCTCTAGGATTTCTGAGAAGAAAATTAGACTCTGTCAAGCCCGTATGAGACCAAAAAACAAATGACTTTTTTTTCTGTTCTTTCTGTTTTTACCACTGGTAATGTTTAATATAAGAATGATGGCACCCAGGATCCGAGCACCAACAGATGGTAACAGATCCAAATCCAAACAAACTTGCGTTTTCAACTTGACCTTGTTTTATTGTGTGAGATACAGGTCATTACACACCACTTTGGCAGGAACACCAAGTGTGTCAATACATTTAACATTTTCAATTCGCAGTCCATTTTGAGTTACCTCTTCCACTCCCCCAATGGACTTTAGTACATACAGATGGATCTAGATCGCCTTTAAGCTGGGTGGGGCTAATGGTTAAGTCCGTCAGCGACTAACCCAAAGGTTGGAAGTTCAAAAGCACACAGTCCTGCCAATCATCTTCTGAAAAATCAACCCTTGGAAGCCCCACGGAGGTGCCATGAGAGAACAGCGACCCCTGCTGGGGTGGTTGCTGAGCTGGCTTTATGCAAATCGATGGCCTGGAGGCGTTTGCCTTTTATCCCGATGTAGCACGGGTCTTTCTTGGGCGCTCATGTTGTTGTTTACTGGAGCTCAGCACCTCGTGCTCCCTGTAAAGAATTCATTCATTCCACAAACTTTTTTGGAGGGGTGGGGTGGGGGGACGAAGCTACTGCATACTGGATATAGTTCTAACGGCAAGACGCAGCCCATGTCTTTGATGGAGATTAACGGGGGAGAGGATGGACCTATGTGCCCGTGACTATTCCGGGTAAGAGACGGAGCAGTCAGACAGTGAGCCTGCCGTGGAAAACAAGCTTTGAGGGGGGACGGCCATTGCTGGAGGCTTGGGAGCCACAGCAGGTAAGGAATCCCCGGGGAGTGCCAGCAGTTTGGCTACTAGCAAAAAGGCTGGTGGTGTCAGTGCACCTCGGAGGAAAGGGCTGGCTGACTGCTGCGGGGAAAACCAGCCACTGAAAACCTGACGGCAGAAGCGACACACGACACATGTGGGTTCGCCAGGAGGGGGACTCGCTCCCTGGCAACCAGGTTAGGAACCTGTTCACAAGAGGGGAGGGGAGACATCCAGGCAGAAGAGATGGAGGCTCAAAGGCTTGCAGGCCTGAAGGCTTAAAAGGGGATAGATTTGATTCCAAGCATGGATGTTTGCCTGTAGCAAGAGCTTCTGTGAGGTGCGGGGTGGAGGGGAGGGAGGTAGACGGGGGTAAGTGGGGGAGGAGGAGGGGCGTGGATGGGGACAGCGGTTAGAAAGCAGAGTTTGATGCAATTTGAGGCGGAAAAGAACGTACAGACTCCCTCTATTAGCCCGCCTGGTATTTACTTACAGTTGAAGGGAGGTCTACAGAGGTAAATGAATGGCCTAAAACTACAAAGGACGTTTCAGATCCTGTAAATAGTATTTAGATCCTGTCTTTGGGCCACAGTGACTTCCCCATGAAATAGCTCTGTGACATTAATGTTCCAGGAGGGCTCAGAAACGTTTCACACAGGGAGTCTAAAAAGGACCTTGCAGGGACCCCTCCCCAAACCACTTCAGACTCTTCTAGTCCTTTTAGGGTGGGGCAGTGAATGGGGGTGGGGGAAGCACTACCCACACCTGGGGCCTGGCTTTAAGAATTACAATCAGACATTTCATTCTCTTTTTCAATGAAAGGTGCGCCCCACCTGTTTGCCTGGGAGCAGTTAGCAATGGAGCCAGATAGAGGCCCCAGGCCCAGCTGACACAGGAGAGCTTTAGGGGGTCAGATGGGAAGGAGGAAGCAAAGATCAACATTATGAGTTGCCTGTAAATCCAGCCACCGCTTGCAAGCCTCACTGCCCCACTGCGATTCCACCCTTTGTGTGGCCCTGGGGCCTCCACCTGAGACTTACCTCTAGGGCCATTTGTACCCAGTTTCCCCGCTGGCAGAGATGGGTAGGGACCTTCTCTGGAGAGTCATCCCTTCAGTGGTTTTACTTTCCCCATAACAGAGCGGATGCCAGCTCCTAAGAAAACAGAGGCTGGACTCTGCTCCAGGATGTGGTAGTTTACCAAACGAACCCCACCCAGCTTCTGGGGCCCTGCTGGCCACAGTGCCAATCAGTACCCTGCGGACCAGAATTCAGGGGGTGGGGAGGGCGAGCTGGGGAAGCAGGAAACAATATCGGAGCTCCAGGAGGCCAGTCGTTGGGAGGCCAGCTCCTTAGAGTTCTGATGTTTGGGAGCAGATTGCCAGGCCTTTCTTCCAAGGTGCCGCGGAGCAAACACAGACCCCTTCAACAGCCAAGCACTCAGCCATTGGCGCCCACCCTGAAATTAAAACCACCCAAACCCAAGCAGGAGGTAAAGACCAGGTGGTTGGAGGAGAGGGAGAACGAAGAGGGGTGGAGCTAAACAGGAGGCCGACCAGGCACTGCCCAGGAATGAAAGGAGGAAGCGCAGGGAGGCTTCTTTCTGTGTGGCTAAGGTCGTTTCAGTAGTAGCTTCTCATGCTCACCCTTGAAAAGAGAATTCACTGTTCTTTTCGAATTGTGTTTGGGAAACTCCTCTTTAGCTGAAAAGTTTCACAAGCACTCCGGCTTCCTCCTTCACGTCCAGCTTTAAGTCCCCCTTAAACGGCCCGTCCACGTATCCCCTCACGTCTCTGCCCTCCACTTTACGCTGTCATACCTGAATTTGGGGACATTCAACGTAACCACCAGACAACAGCGGCTGGAAAATGGCACCTGTCTTCTCTCCCGTGACCAAGATGCATTTACTTACGAGGCCTTTGGAAAAGTTAATGGCTGGCACTGTGGTTCAACTTGACCAACTGAACGGAGCAGTTAGTCCTCATGTCCATTGCCTTGTCACTGTATAGAGGTCTCGGCTGTGAAACTGCAGGGCTCCACATGTTTGATATACTATACGTTCTTTCTCTTGCTCTTAGCCTGGTTTCATTTACTTATTGGTTCGTCTGTCTATTTGTTGGTTTAGTTAGTTATTTGTGTGGAGTGAAAGGATAACTTCCTCACTCTCACATTTGTATATTTAAGGAATTTTTCAAAGTCCTTAAATGTTTTGATCCAGTTTCTCAGAGAGAAACGTATGTATATGTAAATATATATATTTATATAAAATAAATCATTCTATTGGGAGCTCTTACACTTCTTATCACAACCCATACATCAATTTTATCAAGCACATCTGTGCATAAGTTGCCACCATCATTTTATAAACATTGACATTCTATTTGAGACGGAATGTAAGTTTGCATGAAACATCTGCACAGTAATGTTCATGGCAGCTTTATTCATCATTGTCCAAGAATGAAAGCAACTGATAAGTGCTTCAATAGGTGAATGGACCAGGAAACCACAGTGCACCCCCCCAAATGGAGTATCTATTATTTGTTGATGAAAAGAATGAGCCAGCAAGCCACAGAAATGCAGTAGGACATTGACAGGGAGCTGCCAGAGGTTCAGGACAGATTCAGAAGAGGATGTGAAAGGAGGGATATGATTGCTGATGCCAGATGACTCTTGACTGAAGGCAGAGGATACCAGAAAGATGTTTACTTACCTTTTATTGACTATGCAAAGGCACTCAAGTGTGTGGATCATGACAAACCATGGATAGCCGTGAGAATAATGGGAATTCCAGAACACTTCATTTGCTCCTGCAGTAATTGTACACAAATCATGAGGCAGTTGTGCAAACAGAATAAAGGAATACTGCATGGTTTAAGATCAGGCAAGGTGGGTGTCAGGGTCGCATCCTCTCACCCTACTTATCCAATCTGTATGCTGACAAGTCGTCAGAGAAGCTGGCTTATAGGAAGAAGAATGTGACATCAGGATGGGAGGAAGGCTTGTAAACAATCTGCACTATGCAGATGACACAGCCTTATTTGCGGAATGTGAGGAGGACTTGAAGCACTTTCAGATGAAGAGCAAGGCTTGCCACCTTCAGTATGAATTGCAGCTCAGTGTAAAGTAGACCACAATCTTCACAACTGAACCAACTGGTAACATCATGATAAGTGGAGAAAGGACAGAAGTTGTCAAGGATTTCGTCTTGGTTGGATCCACGATCAGTGCTCATGGAGGCAGCAGGCAAGAGTCCAAACAACACTTTGAATTGTAAATCACCTTCACATGTCCTCTCAAGGGTTGAGTAGTAAAGATGCTGCTCTGAGGACTCATGTGCATCTGACCCAAGTCGTGGTATCTTCCCTTGCCTCGTGTGCATGTGAAAGTTGGACATCGAATGAGACAGACTGAAGAAGAACCCATTCATTTGAATTATGGCTTTGGAGAAGAATATTGACAGTACCGTGGACTTCCAAAAGAACAAGC